GCACCAGCAGCGGCTGCAGCGACAACGCTGTGTTGGCCAACAACGCGGGAAAACGCTTGTGCAGCGAGAGCGCTGTATGTTCTGCAGCACAGCGTGACGCCGTTGTGGACAGCAGCAGCAGCAGCAGCAGCAGCAGCAGCGGGGGCGCAGCGGATGTACACCGTGTGTCTGCTGCGCCCAGCCGCACCCTTCCGCAGGCCGGCCGGAGCTGCAGCAGAGAAAGTCTTGCCGTGTCGCCGGGGGCCCCCGCGGTCAGCAGCCCCGAGGGCCCCTCATGGGTAAACGGGGGCCTCGCAGCAGCGGATAGCGCAGGCCCATAACATTTCTGTTTTTTTCCGAGCATTTCCGTACAGAGGCTTCACGAGGGGCCCTCAAAGTGCCCTTCGCATTTGGCCCGCTTGGGGCCCCCTTCGGGGCCCCCAAGAGCCACTTCTGAAGGGGGGGCCCCCCGAGGCGAACCCTTTCTTGGGGGCCCCTACGGGACTTGTATAGATGCCCTTACTCAGGGCTGTCCTAGTAGAGGCGGCGCAATGCCCTTTTGTTTCTGCTTGGTGTCAGTCTGCAGCTGTGCTGCGCTCCCCCCCGCAGCAACAGCAGCAGTAGCTGGCCCAGCAGCAGCAAAGCTAGCCCCGAATGTCTCAACGGCGGCGTTACAAGTGCCGGCAGCAGTAGCAGCAGTAGAAATGGAAGCAGCTGCTGCTGCAGAAACTTGAAGTCGCAAATTGTAGAGTTTTCCATTGGTGAACGCAGTTGCTCGAATACAGTTCAAGGCCAACTGTGCCTCAATTACGCTGCGCTGCTAGCATCTAGCTGGCGATCCAGGTGGCTAGCCAGCTAGCCACCTAACTATCTAGCCAGCTAGCCACCTAACTAGCTAGCTGCTCTCTTCCATTCATTGGAAGCTGGCCCGCAGCCAGCCGCAGATATCTGCAGGCAGCAGCAGCTAGTTTTTGGCATCCAGCTGTCTAGATCCTGCAAGCTGCAGCAAGAACCAGCTAGCTGCGGCTTGACCCAGCTAGCCCAGCCAGCTGTGGCTGGCCCAGAAAGCCGCAGCAAAACCGGCGAGTGAAAGCTAAAGCAGCAGATAGCTTCAGCTAGCCGTGGGCAGCTGCAGCTGCTGCAGCTGCTGCTGCTGCTGCCAACCCTAAGAAACGATCAGCAGTATAAACAGACCAAGGGCAATACAAAACAGCCAAATGATTGTCCAGAGCTGGCGCATATCTGAAGTGGACAGAACAACGCATGAAGCAGCGCACAAACGGAAACATGAATCAGCCACTGCAGGTATTGCTGCAGCTAGCTAGCTAGCTGCAGCAATCAGCCACTGCAGATATTGCTGCAGCTAGCTAGCTAGCTAGCTGGCCCTGCAGCAATTTGCTCTTCACTCAAATGACTTCGCGGAAGCAGCGAAGACATGTGCAGGCTACACTGCCCAGTGGTAGGAGAAGTTTCTGCATGCAGCACTGACAGCAGCAATGCTGCAGCAGCGCGGGGCAGCAGCAGCAACAAGAAAACCCACCTGAACTGCGGACAACTCTGGCTAGCCGCCGCATGAGAAAGTTCATTTCGCTAGCTGGAAAAGGCACCGGCAACAGCAGCCACACAACGAAGGCAGCTGGCCACCTCGAAAACTCTAGCAGCAGCAGCAGCAGCAGCAACAGCAGAAGGATCTGCACTAAAGAAGCCACTAGCAGCAGCAGCAGCAACGAAAGATCTGCACTAAAGGAGCCACCAGCGGCCCCAGTGGGGGGCAGCCTTGACTCTGTTTCTTCTGTCCGAGTCAGTCGACGCAGCAGCTGCAACAGCGCTAGGAACCACAGCAGCAGCAGCAGCAGCAGCAGCAGCAGCAGCACCATTTACCCTGTCTTTCTACGGCGTCGTCCAAATCCGTCAGCATCCGCTGCTGCGTCTCGAGCTCTTGGTTAATTGTCAGCGCAGTTTCGTGGAGGCGGGAAGCAGCAAGAGCCAACTCATCTAGCTGCTCGTCTTGCTGCTGCACCAAAGTCTGCATGCAGCAGCCGCAGCAAGAAAGCAGACAAGCTTCCTTGAGAATTGGGCTGCAACGAGCTCCTAGGCTGAAGCTGCAGCGTCAGTAACGGCCGCTGCTGCTTCTGCTGCTGTTGCTGCTGCTGCTGCTGTTGCTGCTGCTGCTGCTGTTGCTACCTGCTGCTTCTGCTCGACCTCTTCAAAGAAATCTCCCCGGGCTGTGGGGCCCTCAGCCACCCACAGCTGCGAATTGCTTGCGGCCTGACAGCAGCAGCAAAAAGAGACAAAAGGACAGAAGAGTTCATAGCAGCAGCTGCTGCTGCTGAAGTGCAGAGGCAGCAGCAGCAGTACTGGCGTCACCTTCACGTCCGCCCGGAGCGCCTCCAGCTGCTGCTGCTGCTGCCGCACAAACTGCCGCCGACTCTCCAGCTCTTCTGCATGCAGCCCCAAACGCTGCTGGTGTTTTGCTGCAATGGCCACGGCCTTTTCCAGCGCCCGCAGGTCTGCTGCCAGCGCCTCCGAAGACGAGTCAATCGTGCTCTTCAAACTGCAGCAGCAGCAGCAGCAGCAGCAACAGCGCAGCGGCAGCAGTTATGCATGCGCGCATGCAAGTAGCTATAAGCTCATCAGTGCATATACAAAAACCACACCATATTCTTATATGCATGTATGTATATAATACTTATTATTATTTATTTATTTATTTGTATTTATTTATTTGTATTTGTGAAGGTAATGTGTACAAATGCATATGCATTCTGCGAGGTGTCTGTACACCGGACTCGCCTGCTGCACTTGGAGGGGTGGCCTCGAGTTTGCAGCTGCTGCTTCCACTCCCTGTGCAGCCGCTGCAGCTCCGAGAAGTTGGCCTGAACTTCGCTGCAAAGAGGCGCAGCAGCAGCAGCAGCAGCAGCTACAGCAGCAGGAGCAGCAGCTGCAGCAGCAGGAGCAGCAGCTGCAGCAGCAGCAGCAGCAGCAGCAGTAGCTGTAGCAGCAGGGATACTAAAGGAGAGTCACGCAGGCATTAAAGCTGAAGCTTCCGGAGTACAGAAAATTCCGCAGCAGCAGCTCATAGGCTCTTTGCTGCATAAGCAGCTGCTGCTGCAGCAGCCCTTCCAGTTGCTGCAGCAGCAACGGACTCACTCTCGGGCAGCGCAAAAGGGGTCCCCCACGCCATTCTCCATCATCTTCAGGGCAGCAGCAGCAGCAGCAGTTATCTATTTCCTTTTGTTTTGCTACTGCTTTTGGCCATATGCTGCCAGCCTCTGGAACTGCTGCGTTGTGGTGGTTCCCTTTTGCTGCTGCTGTTGCTGCTGCTACTAGTGTTGCTGCTGTCGCTGCCGCTCCCTCAAGGACATGCGCACACACGAGCTGCTGCTCTGCTGCTGCTTTCCACCCTGCTGCAGCTCCTCCGGCTGTTACTGCTGCTGCGGATGGCGCAGCTCGCCAAGACAGGGAATGGCGTGTCTTTCTTGAGCAGCAGCAGCAGCAGCGGCAGCTGCTGCTGCTGCTGCGCTCACTGCAGACGCCGCAGCTAAACCCGTCGACTTCCTGGCCTGCAGCAATAGGTGAAAAGTACGAAAAGTGAAATATGGCTGAGACGGCGAGCCGCCGCGAGCTTTTGATTTCTTTTTATTCTCGTCTACGCCTTTGAGTCCTTTTTATAGACATTTATTTGCAAAAAAGGGTAGAATTAGACTCAATTGTCTTTATTTCAAACGCCAACTAGCAGCTGAGCAAGCAGCCATATACAAGACAACAACGCATGCAGCCCCAGCGCCGCAGCCGACTGCTCCTGCCGCTGCATGCAGCCAAATATCGACAAGTAGGCAGGCTTTTTGTCTCTATTTAATTTAAAAATATTTTATTTATATCAAATTACTGAGCCACCGCTAATGGCAGCCAGTAGCGGAAGTCCTTGAGCCACCCCCTAAGCCTAGGCTAAGCAGCTGAGCACTCACTGTAGCCCACAGCCAAATATTGAGCTAATAAATGGCAAACTTGGCCTAAATTGTAACCCTTAATCATTAAATTCCAACTAAAAGCTCTAAAGCACAATAACTGGCGTAGCTTACACGAGGACGGGAAGCCTCGGCAGCAGCAGCAGCTCGCGCTGCTGCTCTCTGCAGCAGAAGAGGCAGCAGCAAGAAGTCCCAGCCGATCCCTGTTGACCTTGCTGCGCAGCTGCAGCAGCAAGTAGCCAACATGCCATCCCCACAAGCTGCTGCTTCTACCTTAACTTCTGAACTCTAAAGTTGCTGCTGCGCATGCAACTAAATCAGCAGCAAGTCCGTTTCACCCAATTTCTATTTTGGATTTTTATCTTTTGACCTTTACTTTTCCAATGTATAGGCAATTGAGCAACCCTGGCGTCTGAGGGGACGACTAAATCATTCGATAGTCTTTCCCGGCTGCTGCTGCTAGCTGCGCCGTTGCATGCACAGCAGCAGCAGCAGCAACAGGAAGTGCAGCGCAGGCCGCAGAGCGCCGCCTGCTGCTGCCCCCCTCCCTCCCGCCCGTCCTCCACCTGCCAGCAGCAGCAGTGCGCTGCCCCCGCAGCCGCTGCTGCTGCTGGTCGTTTGCTGCAGCAGCAGCAGCAGCAGCAGCAGCACGTCACAGTGCGTTCAAATGATGCCGATCTTGTTGGCCACGTCAAGCGCATCGAACTCGGGGGTGAGACGGACATAAGCCTTCTTCTTTCCGTCGACTCTGCGCAAAAGCACAAAACCCAAATTCAAAAAAATGAACTGCAGCAACAGCAGCAGCAGCAGCAGCAGCAGCACAGCAGCAGCAGCACAGCAGCAGCTGTTCGAAGGCCGACTGGCAAGACAGGGACCGTGATGGCAACTCTGCTCGCTAATAAACCCTCTGTTGTTTTGCGGCTGCTTCCTCTCTCCATGCCCCCGAGAAAAGGCCGAAGCAAAGGAACAGCCGCAGCAGCAGCAGCAGCAGCAGACACCTCCAGAGCAGCAGAACTTGGGCCGGAAGGCCAGAAGCAAATGCGAAATGAGACAAGACCGAAGGGCGCGCTGCTGCAGGTGCACTTCTGCTGCGCTGCAGCGAAGCACGGGTAGAACGCGAGGGAAAGCGCTGCTGCTGCGGCGCGGGCGCAGCAGCAGCAGCAGCAAGTTGCAGCAGCAGCAGCAGCAGCACCTGATGAGCGTGTTGACCCGCTGGGCCACGACTCCGTAGGTCTCCTTCACGGCTTCTTTGATTCTCCTTTTGCTGGCCCTCGGGTCGCACAAAAAGACCAAAGTATTTGTCTCTTCAATCTTTTTCATGGCACTTTCTGTTGTCACTGGGTGCTGCAGCACGCGGTACTTGTCGTTGCGCTGCAGCGCAGCAATTGGATTTGCTGCCCACAGACGCGCCAGACGCGGCGCCTTCGGAGTCCGCGGCTTCTTCAAAGTCCGGGGCCTGCGAACCAGCAGCAGTAGCAGCAGCAGCAGCAGCAGCGCTGCAGCGGGAGCGGAATACACGCTCCAGCGCAGCCACGAAGCAGCAGCAGCAGCACTGCTGCAGCGGTGCACGCGCAGCAGCGAACCAGCAGCAGCAGCGCAGCAAGGCGCTGCGGGCCGCGCCAAGCCGCGCAGCAGCAGCAGCAAACCGCGCAGCAGCAGCAGCAAGTTGCTTTAAAATTACAAAAAAAGATTTCCCAAACTCACCTGCGAAAGCGCACAGTGTACCGCGCCTTTGCTGTTGCAGTTCTCCCCGGCTTCTTCAAAGCCTTGCCGACTGCCTGGGCCTTCTTGACCTTCTTCTCAACCGCCGCCTTGGACCCCTTTGCAGGGGCTGCACAGCCGCATGCACACGCCCCACCCACTCGCAGCTGCAGCAGCAGCAGCAGCAGCACCGGCGGCGCTGCAGTGCGGCGCCAGCGCGGCTCGCGGAAGCCCGGGCGCCGCCGGCAGCAGCAGCAAATGCAAAGCATTCAGGATGGCATGCGAAGCAAATTCAGATTGTGTTGGATACGCAGCAACGGCCGCTGCAGCGGTGGCTGCAAACTGGTGTGCTGCATGTGCTGCGGGGTGGGGCCCCAGAGCAGCAGAAGCCCAGCAGCAGCAGCAGCCCAGGCATTCAAAACACCATATATATCCGGCACGCGAAAAAATTAATTGCGCGTAACATATACTTCAACAGCAAATGTACTTCAACACGAAGGAGCAGCAGCAGTTGCTGCTGCTGCCGATGCTGCTGCAGCAGCGTGGGGAAGCGGCGGCGGCTCAGCAAGCCTCACCTTTTTCCTTCGGCGCCATCTTTTAAACAAGAAAAATAAAAACCGAAACACGAAAAGGGCAAACCAACAACTGCAACAACAAACCCTCTTCGCATTCTTCAGCTGTTGCTGTTGCTGCAGGGCGCTGCTGCTCCTACTACTGGCTGCTGCTGCTGTGGTAGGCGTGGCTGCTGCCGCTGCTGCTGCATGCACATGCATTCAACTGAGGCTGCTGCCAGCTCCGACTACTGTGTATGTTTCTATGCATTTTTAATTACTAATTTTATTTAGTTTTAGCTTCTTGTTGCTTTTATCCCGAAATTTCCCCTCTGAGACGGCAGCAGCTGCACTACTGCAAGTTGCTGCAGCTGTTGCTGCTGCCGCTACTACTTCTTTGGAGGCCACTGCCGAGGCCGTCGATTCGGCCTTGCCTTTGGGGCTTCCTTGAAAATAAGTTTTGCAACTTAGGATTTAATTCATTTTGACCTTCTTTTCTGCTGCTGGGGAAGCCACTGAGCCGCTGCCCTTAGCGGGCTTCGACTTGCAGCTATTCCCGCTGGTGCTTCAGGCTCCCCTGCTGCAGCTGTGCTGCTGCTGCTGCTGCTGCTGCGACACATCTGCTGCGCTGGTCTGCGCACAGACAAGCGGCCACATGGGGGGGCCAGGGGGGGCGCTGAGGCCACTGGGGCCCCGCGTGCAGCTGCCAAACCCTCTTGTGTTTCTAGACATTGCTGTTGGCAATCGAAACGCGGGAAGACTCATCTTTCAGGTTTGCTGCTGCTGCTGCTGCTGCTTCTGCTGCTCCTCTCGGTGTTGTTGCTGCTGCTGTTGGCTTCGCTCTCGTTGCATTTTCCTCGGCTAAGACTGCTGGCTCTTCGGTGCAGCTGCGAGCCCGTTGCTGCCACGGACTTCTGCTGTTGCTCCTGCTGCAGCTGTTTCTGCTGCAGCCCATGAGATATTTACATTTGCTGCTGCTGCTTCTGTTTCTGTTGCTGCTGCGCAGCTGTTTGCAGACCAGCTGCCTATCACAGCGGAGAACTTCCGCTGTCTCTGCACGGGTAAGCCCCGCAACAGCAAAGGCTGCTACTACAGCAGCCCCTGCAGCAGCAGCAGCAGCAGCAGGAAATGTTGCTCTCACTACAGCAACAAACGCAGTACACCCGTCTGCGGCACAGACCCGGCAGAGCTTCGAAGCGCCTCCCGCAGCAGCACATGCAACAGCAGCAGCAGCACATGCAGCAGCAGCAGCAGCAGCAGCACATGCAGCAGCAGCAGCAGCACCAGCACCTGCAGTAGTGCATGGGTTCCTCTGTGCTGCTTTTTGGAGTGTACGTACACTGCAGGAGAGACAGGCCTCGGCTACTACATGCGTCCCAGATGGTACAAAGGGTCTCCTTTCCACCGCATCATTCCCGGCTTTGTGAGTTTGCTGCTGCTGCTGCTGCTGCTGCTGAGCAGCAGCTGCTGCAACAGACGTATCAAGTTCCTGCAGCAGATTAGAGGTTAGGTGCTGCTGGCGCGTTTGCTGCTGAAGGGAGGCTGGGCTGCGTAGATGGGAGTACTGCAGTGTGCTGGGCAGCAGCAGTTGGCCCGAGCGCATCTCCTTGCTGCTGCTGCTGCTGCTGCTGCTGCCGCTGCTTGTGCAGATGGCTCAGGGAGGCGATTTTCACAGGGGCGACGGCTACGGCGGCGAAAGTATCTACGGGCAGTTTATGAGAGACGAAAAGTATCTCTACAAGCATTCCAAACGAGGTGAGAAGCAACAGCAGCAGCAGCAGCAGCAAAAGCTGCAGCAGCAGCAGCACGCGTTTCTGCACACGGACACGTGGCAGCAGCAGCCATCTGAGGCCAAATGCACTGCGGGGTTCCTGCGCCCAGCCGCGTGCCTTGGCGAGCAGCTTAGCCTCCCTAGCAGCAGCAGCAGCAGGAGCTGGGGTGCTGCGCTGCTGCTGCTGCTGCTGCTGCTGCAGGGCTGCTGAGCATGGCGAAGGGGCGGGACCGGCACAGCAGCAGCAGCCAGTTCTTCATCACCTTCAAAGCCTGCCCCTGGCTGGACGGGCAGCACGTGGTCTTCGGGCAGCTGGAAGCAGGCCAAGACACTTTGCTGCAGATCGAAGCAGCAGGTTCTCCCGCAGGCAAGCCCCGCAAGGCCGTTTCCATCTTCAACTGGTCAGCTGCTGCTGCTGCTGCTGCGGTGTAGCGTTGCTGCTGCTGCTGCTGACGCTGCGCCGTGCTGCTGCTGATGCGCCGGGTTGCTGCTGCTGCTGCTGATTCTGCTGCTGAGACGGGTTGCTGCTCCTGCTGCGCCGTGCTGCTGCTGCGTATTGCGCACCGGCTGTGCTTGATGGCCCGCGGGATGTGCTTTGGTGGCAGCACTAGTGCTTTTGCTGCGGCAGCGGCTGCTGCGTCTGCTGCCGTTGCTGCTGCTGCTGCTGCATGTACGGCTTCTGCTGGAGCTGCTGCTGCTGCAGCGGGGAGCTTCAGGCTGATGCACTGCGGCCGTCGGACAGGCAAGGATCCGATGAAGTTCCTTTGGAGACCGCAGGTCTCATCATTGACGTAGGTTTCTTGCTGCTGCTGCTGCTGCTGCTGCTGCGGAAGCTATGGTATCGCTACGGCGACTGCAGCACCATGTGCTGCTGCAGCAGTTTCACTGCTGCAGCTGCAGCCGCAGCAGGTGCTTCTGTAGCAGTTTGGCTGCTGCCACTGGACCAACATCAGATGCAGCTGCAGCAGTTTGGCTGCTGCAGCAGCCACACCAGATGCAGCTGCAGCAGTTCCGCTGATGCAGCAGCAGCAGGTGCTGCTGCAGCAGTTCCGCTGATGCAGCAGCAGCAGGTGCTGCTGCAGCAGTTCCGCTGATGCAGCAGCAGCAGGTGCTGCTGCAGCAGTTTCGCTGCTGCAGCAGCAGCGCTGCGTATGTGTGTACAGACAGTTCAACGAATCCCGGGAACCCCCGCCAATTCCTGCGGAGGTTTTGCATGCAGCAAAACACAACTTTTAAAAATTGTTTTTAAAAAGTTTTTTCAGCTTTTCCCCAAAGCAGCACGGGGACCCCCAAGGGGGGGCCCCACAGAAGCTCCAAAGGGGTATTGGCTTCTAGAAACTTCGCGGGAGAAGGGCCCTTGGGGGGCTGCAGCTAAAGGGCGTAGGGTTTAGGGTTTAGGGTTTTGGGGCAGTTCGTTTTCGTTTTTCGTTGCAAAGACGCATCTGATTTAGAACTTCTTTTTAAATAACTGTTTCTAAAATGACTAATTATTAAATGTGCAAAGCCAAAGGGCTCTGTTGAATTTTTGCAAAAAGAACAAAAAGGGCCCCAGCATTCTTGGGGCCCTTTTCCCAAATTGCTGCTGCTGCCACAAAAGGGCTGTTTTGCCAAATTGCTGCTGCTGCTGCCACAAAGGGGCTGTTTTGCCAAATTGCTGCTGCTGCTGCTGCAACAAAAGGGTCCTTTTCCCAATTTGCTGATGCTGCTGCTGCCACAAAAGGGCCCTTTTCCTAAGTTGCTGCTGCTGCTGCGACAAAAGGATCCTTTTCCGGAGTTGCTGCTGGTGCTGCAACAAAAGGAATCCTTCTTCAAATTGCTGCTGCTGCTGCAGCAAAGGGCCTCTCTTTTCCTAATTTGCTGCTACTGCCACTGTGGGGTCCCCAATTCAGTCGGGGGCCCCGGCGGAGGCTGCAGCAAATAAAATAAGTACTAAATCTTTCTTTGCTTCTCTCTAGGAAGCAAAAACTTCTTTCTTTTTGTTTTTTATTTCTTTTTTGCTTCTTATTTGTTTTTATTTATTTTTTTTTCGTATTTCCCCTTGCTGCACTTTTCACAGAAAAGCCCCATAGGCCTCAGCCCGCCCCATTAGCGTGCTGCGGGCGACTGTCCGTTTTGCCCCAAAACCGCCTGCGAGATTCTTGTTTTGCTGCTGCTTCTGCTGCCGCTGCTGCTGCTGCTGCCGCCGCTGCTGCTTCTGCTGCTGCGGCTGTCCTGCGAGGCTGTGGTAGCCTTCAGTTTGCCTCTCTTCCCGCCCCCTCTCTGAGACTTGGCTACTCCCCCCCAGCCACTCGGGGTCTCCAGTGTACCCGGGGCCCCCGGGGCCCCCCGTGCAGCCGGGCCCCCGGGCTGGGGGCCCCGGGGCCCCCAGACAGGCAGCAGCAGGCAGCGGCAGCAGCAGCTGCAGCAGCTGCGCTGGCTCCAGCGTGTCTATGGACTCTGTGGTGGTCCGGGTGATGTGATGCACAACTCCCGAAGGAGTGCTTTCGGCAAAGTCTCGAGTTACTGTCACACTTTTTTCGCCCCCAGTGGGGATTCCTGGCGGGCCCCCGGGGGCCCCGGGGGCCCCCGGGGCCCCCGCCCCGGGGCCCCCTGGGGCCCCCGGGACCTGGGGCACCTTGGGGCCCCCCGTGCCCCCACTGACGTGTTGAGATGGCCCCTGGGGCCCCAGGGGCTTTGCTGCAGTGCCTTTTGCTGCAGTACCCATTTGGGTTTTAGGGGGGCCCCCAGAGGAGGCTGGGGAGTGGGCAGCAGCCCCTTTTACTGCTGCAGAGGCCTTCGTGGCCCCTAGCAGGTGAGCTTTGGTTGCTGCTGCTGCAGACTTCGTCGTTAGAGCTGCTGCAGTTGTGCTGCTGTTGCCGCCGCTTGCTGCTGTTGAGACTGCTGCTGCTGTGCTGCTGAGGGGCGGGGTCCCCGCGGCCCCGCTGTGCTGCGCTGCAGTAGCTATCAGCTGGCAGCTGCCGGCTGTGCCGTCAACAGCAGCAGCAGCAGCAGCAGTTCCTTTCGCATGCAGCAAGTGGCCCAGGCCTCCACCTTTGAAAAGGGCTGCGCCTGCTGCTGCTATTGTCTTGCTGCTGCCTGCAGCCACTGCTGCTGCGCCTTTGCTGCCAGCAGCCAGCGCAGAGGCAGCGCCCCACAGTCCCACCAATTCAAGTGGCATTTTGTCACTGCTACTGTCAAAGCTGCTGCTGCTGCTTTTGCTGCTTGCTGCTGAGCGTGCTGCTCTTTGTTTACAGACACAAGTGCCAAGGTCACTTCTGTTGGTGCCTGCCGAGCGTGCTGTTGCTGCTGCTGCCACTGCTGGTGCTGGGACTCTCTGCAGGGGCTGCTTGATGATAAATAGATTAATAGTCTTGATTTGTTTCACTATTTCGGCTGCGAGGAAGAACACAGCATCCGTTGCAACTCGCGCAGCAGATGCCGCTCGCAGGGGAGCAGCAGCTGCAGCAGCAGCAGCTAAAGCGGGAGAAACACCGGCCCGTTGCCGCAGTCAGAAGTAAAAATGTAGCTTTCAGGAATGTTGCAGAAAACTGAGACTTCAAAGGGGAAAAGAACGATGCCGCAGTTATCTCATCTGTCGATTTGCGTCGGTGGCGAGCTGGGTGTACGTACACCCCAGTTCACAAGAGGCGCTCTGGCACGTGGTGTTCAGTTTATAATTCATTCATTTTACTGCTATTTCATTTTGTTCAAGAATTGCAATGAAGGGGGATGCCGTAGACACAGAGAGACAACGCAGAGGGGACCGCTGGTACGTCCCAGCAGCAGCAGCAGCAGCAGCAGCAGCAGCAGCTCAGTGCTGAGGCTGATTGGGCCCCCAGGCTAAGGCTTCCCCACGAAGTTGTTGCAAAAGGCATTCTTAATGTTAATTATAACTATCAAGAGAGAGAATTTCACTAAGAGCCGCTCTGCAGCCGCAGCAGCTCAAGCTGCAGCAGCAGCAGCAACAGCAGCAACAGTCAAGGGTCTCTCCCTGCCTCGTGAAGGCCCCACAGGGCCCCCTGTCCTCTTTATTTGCTCAAATGCAGCAGCCCAAACTCTTAACATTCCTGTAGACTCTAAGCCATGAAATATAGGCAAAAAACCAGAAGCTGTAGGCCGTGAGCCGCTGCAGGGGCCTCAGCAGCAGAAAATGCTGTCTGGTGCTGCTGGTGCCGTTGGTGCTGCGGGCACTGCTGCTGCTGCTGATGCTGCGGCTGCTGCTGCGGCGCCTTCGAGTGTCTTTGCTTCCTTCAAAGCTGTCTATACACCCGACTGTGTTGAGTCCTGGAGCCAGCATGCTGCCCTCTGTGTCAGCCGCAGAGCAGCAGCAGCAACAGCAGCAGCAAAAGAAACGCTGGAAAAGAGAGGAGCAGACGATGCATGCACTGCAGCTTCTGCGGCAGAAGATGACCAGGCATGCAGCGCCAGCAACAGAGGCAGCAGCAGCTGCAGCAACAGCTACAGCAGCAACTGCAGCAGCAGCAGCGGCGATCTCTTTGTTGTCGGGATGTATCAGTATGACGAGGCCACACGGTCCCGTAGGGGGGGTCTTTCATTTTACAGCGTGCAGCAGCAGCAGCAGAGTGCAGCAGCAGCAGCAGCAGCAGCAACTCCTTCTGTGAGCTGCATCCTACACCATCCGACAGAATCCTTCGGCTGTCTGGACACCCGGTGGCTGTGCGCTGCTGAGGGTTGCTGCTGCAGCAGCTTCAGCAGCAGTCGCATATTACCAGTGAGGCAATAAGTTGCTGCTGCTGCTGCTGCTGCGGGTATTGCTTCTGCCGCCGCTGCTCCCCGCCCTGGCCTGCCTGTCTCTGCCGCGCCAGCGTTTCCGCTGTTTTACTGCTGCTGCTGCTACTGCTGCTGCTGCTGCTGCCGCTGCTGCAGCACGAGTTTGAGTCTCTTCTCGCAGTTATAGGCTCGGACTGCGCGCTGCACGCCTTTCGGGTGTGTGGACACCCTGAAGAGGAGGAGCAAGCCAATAACAGCAGAACGAGCAGCAGCAGCAGCAGCGGCGGCAGCAGCAGCAGCAGCAGCAGCCTCCGTTGCAGTGCTGCTGCTCGAGTGCCCCTGCTTCAGGCTCCAGGCCGAGACCAGATAGGCTTGGGCTTGGATGCCCTTCATGGCCAGCCAAAGTATACTGCTGCTGCTGCTGCTGCTGTTTTTGCTGCTGCTGCTGCTTCTTCTCTTGCTGCTGCATGTGCTGCTGGCGCTGCTGCTGCCCTGCCTTTTTTCTTCGCTGCGAATAGGCTGCTGCGTTGCTGCTATTCTTTGAGCTTATAATCCGTGACGCTGAGTTTCACGCTGCTGCTGCTGCTGCTGCTGCTGTTGAAGGTTCATAGCAGCAACATGCTCTGATGGATCTGCTGCTGTGGTGACGGACTTGGAGTTCTTGTCGCTTCTTTGGTGAGCCTTTTGCAGCTTTTGAGTTGCGAAATTTTGCTGCTCCAGTTTGCTGCTGCATGCATGCAGCCCGCTGCTGCTTCTTGCAAACTCCCTGCTGCAGCAGCTTGTTGCTAACCGCTGCGCCTTGCTGCTGCAGGAGGGCTCATGATGCAGAGGCTTGGGCTGTGGCTGTCAGCCCCCACAGCAGCAGCAGCCTCATTGCCACGGGTAAGTGCTGCTTTGCTGCTGTTTGCACGCGCAGCAGAGCCCGCCAGCTGCAGCAGCAGCAGCACCTGCTGCTGCTGCTGCTGCCGCAGCGCATGGCTACAGGCCGCTGCTGTCTTTGCTGCGCCGCTGAGGCTCTTGAGGTGTATGTACACTGCTGCTCAGGGGCCGATGACTGCCGGCTGCGTCTGTGGGACATTCGGAGCTGCTGCCGCTTTGCTGCACTAGAGACGGTCATCAGCAGCAGCAGCAGCAGCAGCAGCAGGAGCAGCAGGAGCAGCAGCAGGAGAAGCAGCAGAGGCAGCAGCGCGGAGCGCTCCCCGTGCCTGCGCGCTGAGAGCAGCAAAAGCCACTCCATGGGAGTAACTTCTTTATGCTTTTCTCCCACGAACTCTCAGCTGCTCTTTAGTGGCAGGTGAAGTCCTTTTCTGCTGCAGCTGCTTCGTTTGCATGCAAAGAAGTGCAGCACAAGCAGCAGCAGCAGCAGCAGCAGCAACCAGCGTTTGGCATGAACCGCGTCCCTAGCAGCCTCCCAGTATCTTGAGTGTCTCGCCGTGCGCCCTCTTTTCAAATTCCCTCTGCTGCTGCTGCTGCTGCTGCGTGTGTCTTGCTGTGTCTGTGGGCCCCACAGCTACGACGGCTTCATTCGCTGCTTCGACCTGCGGCAGCTAAAGTACCCCCTGTCTTCAAGCCAGGCTTCAGGGGGCCTCTGGCGGCTGCGCCTTTCACCGGGGGCCCCCAGCGCTGGCTCTGGGGGCCCCCGGGGGGCCCCTGGCGCTGCCTCTGGGGGCCCCCGGGGGGCCCCCGGCGCTGCTTCGGGGGGCCCCCGGGGGCCCCCCGAGCCGCCCAAGGGCAGGCAGCAGCGGCCGCTGCTTCTTGCTGCTTGCTGCCACGGGGGCTACGAAGTTTGGGAAATGGAAGAAGCAGGTAATAATAATTGCTGCTGCTGTGGGGCCCCCTGTGTCCTCAGTGGGTTTTGTTTCTGCAGCTGTTTTCGGGCTACTGCTACCTGTTGTTGCAGCAACCTGCTGCTCGTGCTGCTGCTGCTGCTGCTGCTAAGCATCTACGGGGCTGTGCTGCGGTGCTTCCGATTGCAGAAGACGGTGCTGCACCGGTGCTGCAGCAGCTCCTGCAGCAGCAGCCTCACGAGTCTATGGCTTACGGTATCACTCAGCTCTGCTGCTTACCTCAGCAGGAGCAGCAGCAGCAGCCACAGCAGCAGCAGCAGCGCTTCATCGGGGCCTCAGTGGGTTTCTATGACAAAAGTATTTGCGTCTGGCAGCATTTGCTGCCACCCTAAACCCCAGAAGCCACACAGCGCCGCAACGTGCGGAGCCAGCAGGGCCTGCGCTTTGCCAGCAGCAGAAGGGTTTAGGGTTTTAGCTGCTTGGCCAGCAGCAAAAGGGTTTAGGGTTTAGGGTTTTAGCTGCTTGGCCTGCAGCAAAAGGGTTTGAGATTTTAGCTCCTTGGCCAGCAGCAAAAGGGTTTAGGGTTTTAGCTCCCTAGCCAGCAGCGAAAGGGTTTAGGGTTTTAGGTGCCTGGCGAGCAGCAGAAGGGTCTAGGGTTTTGGCTGCTGGGCCAGCAGCAGAAGGGTTTAGGGTTTAGGGTTTCAGGTGAACTGACTTAGGCCTAGGCTCTAGAAGTTAAGCTTTTAAGTCTGGGGTTTAGGCCGCTAGGGTCTGCTTGGTAGTTAGCCAACGGGGGAGCGTGAGCTGCAGCAGCAGCTGCTGCAGCTGCTAGAGTTGCTGCTCCAGCAGCAGCAGCAGCTAGCAGCACCATCGCTGCCGCCTTTTAGATCGGGCTTCAGCAGCAGCAGAACGGGGCGACAGCGGACTCAAGGGCGGCGGAGCAGCAGCATAAGTGCAAAGAAGCGGCGGCAGGAATTGCTGCTGCGGCTGCAGCAAGTTTGCTGCAGCAGGAGCAGCAAGAGAAATCGACAGCGGATTGGACAAAGGCAAGCCATAGTAAGACAGCGGCAGCAGCTGCGCCTCATAAGGACTTGGCCAGTAAACAGAACTCAGGCCTTCTTTCCCTGCTGCAGCAAAGGGGCCCCCAGCAGCAGCAGGGGCCCCCTGCATCATTGCTGCTGTGGCTACAGCAGGCGAGGCCCCGCTGCAGTCCCATACGGGCACATACTGTGGCCAGCTAGCGCCGCCTGCAGCAGCAGCAACAGCAGCAGCAGCAACAGCACCATTGGAAGCAACGGAGCCGTCGCTGGGTAGCGTACAGCAGCAGAGGAAACTGTCGCACAGCAGCAGCTGCAGCAGCGCCACTAGCAGCAGCAACTGTAGGAGTTTCTCTAGCAGCAGCACAGTCTAGTATAGCAGCAAATGAAGCAGCAGAAACTTCGTGAATCCTCCCAGTTGTTCTAGCTGAAGCATGTGACGTGAGGCAGGCTTGCCTGTCTGCAGCTGTGGCTGATGGAGCAAGGATTGCTGCTGTTGCTGCTGCGGCTGCTGCAGCATGAGCTGTCCAGAGTCGGTGCAAACCGGGGCTGCTCCCCCAGCCTCTTCAGCCCCTGAGGAGTAGCCTGCTGACTGGGGCTGCAGCAGCATCTGCGACTGCTGCTGCGGCAGCAGCTGCGACTGCTGCTGCTGCTGGAGGGGCTCCATCCGTGCTCTACTTCCTTCTGTGTCGGTGCTGTTGCTCTCACAGCAGCAGCTAGGCAGCCAGAAGGAGCAGCAGTTTACAAATTTGTTTTTGTATTTCTTTCGGTCTCGGTTTGAGGCTTTTCTAAACTCTAAATGCTTGCGGCTTGTTGGCTGTCACCCCGGCACACTCAGCAGCAGCAACGGCAGCCCCTGCGACTTTCTTTCTGGGCCATTGAGACTCCGGGATCTAAAAATCTACAATTTTGCGGCTGCTGGAATAGCGTCTGTGTAAAAAAGAGGCAGCAGCAGCACCAGCAACAGCAGCACCAGCAGCAGCAGCAGCAGCAGCAGCACGGAACAGGAGGGGAGAACAGGTGACCGCGCCGCCGCTGCAGCTGCAGCAGCTCGGACTGCTCGATTCAAAAAAGACTGAAATCCAAGACAAAATAGTGTTTCATAAAATGCGAATGCAGCAGATGCATGCAGCAGCGGCATTTGCTGCTGCTCCTGCTGCTGCTGCTATGCGTGCTGCAGCCCACCCGCCGCCTGGGCCAGAAGCCCACCGCTGGAGATCAGCAGCAGCTCCCACCGCACCAACAGCAAAATAAACTCTTTTAAAATGAGATTAATTTTAAAAATAGTATTTTTGAATTAATTTTGGCTTTTGTTGCTGCTGCTCCACACAAGTTTTCACCAGCCCCCACGCCAGCCCATGCACAAGCCTGAAAGCTCTTTGAACTTTTTCAAAAATTACCCAGCCCAGTTCTGGGCTGGCTAGCGCTAGCCACTTAGTGCATTTGAGCCTAAACCAGCGCTGCAGCAGCTAGCTGAACATTTGAAAAGAAACAATTAAATTCAAATCCACTAAATGTGCCAGTTACAGCGCGCCAGCGCATGCAAATTTAATGCTTTTCTGGGCAATTGTTCTTCTGCCTGCTGCAGCACTAGCAGCAGCGCGAATTCCCTGCAAAATATTCTTCAGAAAAGGGGAAAAATGCCACAAATTATTTAAAAATTGCCTTTTAAGTCCAAAATCCGGAACATATTTCACTTAAAGCAGATTCGGTTAACCTCATGCAGCCTTTAAAGCAACAAAGCAGCAAAAAGAATTCAAAAGGGCCCCACAGGGGCCCCCAGAGGGTCCCCTCAAGGACTGGGGGCCGCTCTTGTTGGGGGGCCCCCTGGGGGGCCCCTCTGGTGTTTACTGCCACAAGCCCTGGGGCCTTGCTATTACGCTTGGGGCTGCTCATTTAGAATAAAGTTTTAATAAACAAAATCTAAATTTGAAAATTCCAAAACGAGAAATAATTCAACTAGCCGCTGATCTGTCTTGCGTTTAGATCCACTTATTATTGGCTGCATGCGCTGCTGGCTTCATCCGCCTGCCAGCTAGCTAGCTAGGTATGGGCTAGCTAGCCAGTCAGCTAGCTAGGTATCGGCCAGCTAGCCATTTAGCTAGCTAAATATGTTCTAGCTAGCCAGTTAGCTAGCTAGGTATGGGTTAGCTAGCCACTTGGCTAGCTAGATATGGGCTAGCTAGCCATTTAGCTAGCTAGATATGGGATAGCTAGCCACGTAGCTAGCTAGATATGGGCAGCTAGCCATTTAGCGAGCTAGCTAGCTATCTAGCTAGCCAGCTGTCTATCTACAGGCGCATAACTAGCATGTGGGAATCCTCAGGGCCACGCAAATTTCTTTCCCTTTAATTAACTAATTAAGTAACCAGTTAATTAATTAATTAATTAATTAATTAAACTCTGAATGGAATTCAAAGTACAAATTCATTTACAGAAAGAAAAGAAATGGAAGAGACAAAATTCAGGAAGTGCTTCTACTGGACGCTGTTCAGGTGTATTGACACCTCAGTGCAGCAGTTACTGTTCAGGTGTATGGAAACCTCAATGTGCACTTTGCAGAGAATTCAATTTCCCTGCATGTAACTGCTGCGGAAGTCCTTGCTGCAGCAGAATCCATATAATGCTGCAGCAGAATCCATTTAATGCTGCAGCAGAAACCATTTAATGTTGCAGCAGAACCCATTTAATGCTGTAGCAACGGCTTTGCAGCTGGGCAGCAGCTAGCGGGCGCAGCAGCTGCTGCTGTTGCACCTAGCAGAAGCGTGCTGCAGCAGCAGCGTGCTGCAGCAGCAGCGTGCTGCACTTTGCGCAGGGAAGGAAGAACCGCAGCGCAAGGGAGAGCAGCATCAGGCGCTCCGTGCTGCTGCTGTTGCTGCTAGTGCTGCTGCTATTGCTTTTTCGTTGCTGCTGCTGCAGCAAGCTCTTGGCTTCTTGCTTCCCCACGCGTGTGTCTGCTGCACAGGCTGCTCCAGACAGCTGCAGCAACCAGCACCGCGTGCTGCTGCTGCTGCTGAAAAGGCAGCTTTAACCGGCAGCAGCAGAAGAACTGCGGGGTTGAATAGGCCAGTTTGAGTTCTGCTGCTGCTGCTGCTGCTGCTGGCTGCGGCTAGCTGGCCCAGCAACATACGAGTCATTCTGCTACAGCGCAAGCGAGCACGTCTGCGCACAGTAAACTGATCAGAGTAACTTCAAAAGCTGAATTTAACTCTATTAAATGAAATAAATAAATTTAACTTCGCAATTTATTTCCCGTAAAAAGGCAGCTGAGTGGCGCCCGTGTCGCAAAGCCGACCGCCGCCCCCCACCTGCCGTTGCTCCTGCTAGGGAGCGTCTCGGAGTTAAAAAAGTATATTTCTTCTTTAAAAGACTGAATAATGCCACTTATTTGCTAGTTGTTCTATTTTGGAGCTTTAGAAAAGGAGTGTATGGGCAGCAGCAGCTGCGCGGCACTGCGCCAGCGCCCGGCGACCCCTGCGTTCAACAGTTATATCTTCATTCTGGGATTTAATTAATCCGAAAGATTAATAAAAACATTGAAATTGACTCAAACAGAATAATTTCAATTCTGAATTGGCGGGGAAACCGCGAGACTTCGCGCTGCAGCCGCAGCGGTCCGGGTTGGATTTGCTACTGCTGCCAACTGCATGCAGACATTCCAAGGAACTCACTACCCGCGCTTTGTTGCTGCTCTTCCCTTCTAGTTTTTCTGAATTTTGAACAAAAGCGGCGCTTCAGGGTGGCCTTTTTTGGTTAAGACACGCGAACTTAGCTAATCGTGTTGAAGCAAGGCCCAGCGCGCTGCCGCTGCAGCTGCGCCCCAACAGCAGCAGCAAACCGCGCAGCAGCAGCAGACAGCACTGCAGCAGCAGCAGCAGCAGCTCAGTGAGGGCTCCTTTCTGCAGCGCCGTTGCTGGGGCCCCTTCAATTGCTCTCAAGGCCAAGGCCCGGACGCTCGCGCTGCTGCTGCTTCGGAGTCGACATGCAGCACCTGCTGCAGCAGCAGCAGCAGCAGGAACAGCAGCAGACCGGCCCCACAATGGCGGAAGTAAAGCCTTAGCCACTCAACAAATGCAGCGGCAAGGCAGCCGTAGCTGCAGGAAGACACGGCGAATCTTGGCAGCAAGACAGGAGCAGCAGCGGCTGCGGCGGAAGCAGCAACTTCAGCAGCAGCAGCAGCAGCAGCGGCTCTGCTGCTGCGGCGGACCATCATGAGTCGCTTTCTCTTCTGTAAGCAGGGGCCCCTCGCAGCAGCAGCAGCAGCAGCAGCAGCAGCAGCAGCAGCAGCAACTCCAAAGGGTCTAGTTTGCTGCTGCTTTCAACAGTTGCTGCAGTTTGCTGTTTTGCTGCAGCACTGGACAGCTTCAGCAGCCCGGGGGAAGATGGGGGCTCTGCACTTGACCGTCTGCGGCGCTTCTCCAGCAGCAAAGTCAGTTTCTACCAGCTAGCCACCGGCTAGCTAGCCACCAGCTAGCTAGCCACCAGCTAGCTAGTCACCAGCTAGCTAGCCACCAGCTAGCGGTCCCAGGCCCAGCTAGCCACCAGCTAGCCAGACAGCTAGCTAAGCGGCTCTCGAGTCCTCGGCCCTGCGGGCACCAGCGAGGAAGCTAGCTAGCTAGCTAGCTAGCTAGCTGGCTAGTTATCTAGCCATCTAGCTAGCTAGCTAGTTAGCTAGCCAGCCAGCTAGTTAGCTAGCCAGCTAGGCAGCAAGACAGCCAGCTAGCTAGCTAGCTAGCTAGCCATTTAGCTAGCTAGCTGGGCATCTCGCTTCCTCTAGCGAGGGTTCTGCGCAAACCCTAAAAGGGGGAAAACGAAATCCCCAGCTTGTGTTATTTGGAAACCCTAATTGCTGAATTTGCTGCACCTAGCTGCTGAGAAACCCTGAAGGCTAGGGTTTGTGTCGGGGGTTTGGGGTTTGTGCTGCTGCTTGTGTCAGTTGGCTGCGCAGCGCGTTTTGGCTGCGGGTTTGCTGGTGGAGGTTTTGGCAGAAAGTGCTGCTGCAGCAGAACACTTCGATTTGCTGCAGACGCTGCAGCAAATAGCGCGCTTCGTGCCGCCGCAGGAGCCGCAGCAGCAGCCCGCAGCAAAGCCCAGCAGCAGCAGCAGCAGCAGCAGCAGCAAGAAGGGCTTCCTTGGCTCCCTCCTCTGGGGCCGCTCCCTCTCCCGCATGGTGTGGGGGCCCCCCGAGGGGGGCCCCCGCGGGGACCTGGGGGGCCCCTGTGATGACAGGGGCCCCCGGGGGGCCCTCTGTGCCCGCGGGGGAGATATTGCTGCATGCGTTATTCAGGCCAATCCAGACAAGGGGTAATCTAGACGGGCTAGGGTTTAGCAAAGCTAGGGTTTGGGAAAGCTAGGGTTTGGGAAGGCTAGGGTTTGGGAAGGCTAGGGTTTGGGAAGGCTAGGATTTTGGGAAGGCTAGGGTTTGCTGCATGCGTTATTCAGGCCAATCCAGACAAGGGGTGGGCTAGGGTTTAGCAAAGCTAGGGTTTGGGAAAGCTAGGGTTTGGGAAGGCTAGGGTTTGGGAAGGCTAGGGTTTGGGAAGGCTAGGATTTTGGGAAGGCTAGGGTTTGCTGCATGCGTTATTCAGGCCAATCCAGACAGGGGGTGGGTTAGGGTTTAGCAAAGCTAGGGTTTGGGAAGGCTAGGGTTTGGGAAGGCTAGGGTTTGGGAAGGCTAGGGTTTGGGAAGGCTAGGATTTTGGGAAGGCTAGGGTTTGCTGCATGCGTTATTCAGGCCAATCCAGACAAGGGGTGGGCTAGGGTTTAGCAAAGCTAGGGTTTGGGAAGGCTAGGGTTTGGGAAAGCTAGGGTTTGGGAAGGCTAGGATTTTGGGAAGGCTAGGGTTTGCTGCATGCGTTATTCAGGCCAATCCAGAGAAGGGGTGGGCTAGGGTTTAGCAAAGCTAGGGTTTGGGAAGGCTAGGGTTTGGAAGGCTAGGGTTTGGGAAGGCTAGGGTTTGGGAAGGCTAGGGTTTGGGAAGGCTAGGATTTTGGGAAGGCTAGGGTTTGCTGCATGCGTTATTCAGGCCAATCCAGACAAGGGGTGGGCTAGGGTTTAGCAGAACAAGGGCTTGGGCCTGGGAAAGCTGGGGTCTGGGAATGCTAGGGTTTGGGAAGGCTAGGGTTTGGGAAAGCTAGGGTTTGGGAATGCTAGGGTTTGGGAATGCTAGGGTTTGGGAATGCTAGGGTTTGGGAAGGCTAGGGTTTGCTGCATGCGTTATTCAGGCCAATCCAGACAAGGGGTGGGTTAGGGTTTAGCAAAGCTAGGGTTTGGGAAGGCTAGGGTTTGGAAGGCTAGTGTTTGGGAAGGCTAGGGTTTAGGGTTTCAGCGAGGTTTGGCTTACGGTCTGGGATTTTGAGCAAGGTTTGGTTCAGGGTCTAGGGTTTGAGCGAGGGGTGCTTAGGGGTTTGAGCGAGGTTTGGTTTAGGGTTTAGAGTTTGAACGAGGTTTGGTTTTAGGGCTTGGACGAGGCCTGATTTAGGGTTTAGGGTTTGGACAAGGTTTGGCTTAGGGTTTAGGGTTTGGACGAGCTTTGGTTTAGGGTTTAGGCTTTGATCAAGGTTTGGTTCAGGGTGTAGGGTTTGGGCGAGGTTCGGTGTAGGGTCTAGGGTTTAGTGTTTGAGCGGGTTTGGGTGTAGGGTTTAGGGTTCGGGGTTTGTGTTTAGGTACTCTCGGGTGTGCAGCGAGTTGCTACCTTTTTTCGAAGGGCTGCTGCATGCAGCAGCAGACATGCAGACTGTGAAGGCAGCAGCTGACGCAATTCTTTTGATTGGCACACACTTGAGGTAATTGAAAATAAGAACTATTTTATTTTTTTAACTTTTCAAAAATGTTTTTTGTTCCTGCTTCTGCTGCTGCTGCTGCAGCGCTGCGTGTCTTGCTGCGCAGCAGCAGCCAAGTTGCCTGGGCTGTTTTTTCTGCTGCTTTCTTTTGCTGCTGGCAGCTGCTGCAGCGCCGCTGCTGCAGCGCCGCTGCTGCAGCGCCGCTGCTGCAGCGCCGCTGCTGCAGCTCTTCAGTGCTTCTGTTCTTTTCCCCAATTGGCACTTTGTTATCATTAAAATTAACATTTTGAATTATTAAAACGGGAAGTTTGTTTTCCGAATTTTCAGGCCCAGCGAACGGCTGACTTACTTGCTGCCCGTGGGGCTGCGGCTGAGCCAGTGTACAGACACCCTGCGCCTCCGGTGTCTGTCGCCAGTCTTTTTGCATTTGCTGTCTTCTTTATTTGCTGCTGACTTGCGGCGGCATTTGCTGCTGCCGCAGCTGCTTTTTCTTGCCAGAGAAGACGCAGAGCCTTACGTCAGGGCCCTGGCGCTGCGGCACTTGGCCGCGGTGCGCTCTGCTGCTGCTGCTGCTGCTGCTGCTGCTGCTGCTGCTGCTGCTGCTGCTGCTGCTGCTGCTGCTGCTGCTGCTGCTGCTGCTGCTGCTGCTGCTGCTGCTGCTGCTGCTGCTGCTGCTGCTGCTGCTGCTGCTGCTGCTGCTGCTGCTGCTGCTGCTGCTGCTGCTGCTGCTGCTGCTGCTGCTGCTGCTGCTGCTGCTGCTGCTGCTGCTGCTGCTGCTGTTGCTGCTGCTGCTGCTGCTGCTGCTGGCGCTGCTGTGATGCCGGTGGTTCTGCTTCTGGGGGCTTTCCTGCTGCCGGTGCTGGCGCTGCAAATGTACGCCTCTCTGCCACTGCTGCTGCTGCTCCTGTTGCTGAGGGCCCAACTCACGCATGCTGCTTTCTGCTGCTGTGCTGCTGCTGCTGCTGCTGCTGCAGATGTCCCCTGGTCTGGGTGAGGAAGCTGTTCAAGGCCGGGTTTTGCCGCTGCTGCTGCGGGCTCAATCTGTTGCTTCTGAGCTCGGCAAAGAGGAGCGAACTGCTGCTACTGCTTCCATGTTTGACCTTGCAAAGGTCCTGCTCGTGCTGCTGTTTCCTTTTTCTGCTGCTGCTGATGCATTTGCTGCAGCTCCTGGCAGTGACCCTGGGCCTTCTGCACCTGGGATTGCTGCGGTGTTACGCTTTTTACCATAAACAAGACCTTTGCTGCTGCTGCAACTGCTGCTGCTGCTGCTGCTGCTGCCCGTCTTCGGCAGTGTTGGAGCTGCTGCTGCTTGAGGGTTTATTTGCAGTCTGTTTCTCCTGGAACGCGCCTGACGGCTTTGTTGCCTGCGCTTCTTCAGTTGCTGAAAGACCCAGAGCCGTAAGAGCAGCAGATCTGCGCTGCTGCTGCTGCTGCTGTTGCTGCTGCTGCTTTTCCTGCGTGATCCTGTTCTGGTTTTTAAGATGATGCCAGTGCCTGCGGAACACCATATGCATTTGCTGCTTGCGCTGCTGGAGGTGCGGCGGCATTGCTGCTGCTGCTGCTGCTGCGTGCTGCTGCACCCTAGATATGTTCGATATGTTCGGAAGAGCGACGGTGACACTGACACCGCAGCAACAGCAGCAGCACCAGCGAGGCACGTTAGCTGTAGGACGTTCTATCATTCTTCTTCATTCTAACTACAGGATTTATGAAGTTCTTAGCTGCAATGCTGTGCTGCTTGCAGCTGCGTGCGCTTGGCAGCAAAACAGCAGATATGCTTCTTCTTAACTTCCGTTGCACAGTTCTTGGATCCTGCTGCTGCTGCTGCTGCTATTCAGCAGCAGCAGCTGCAGCACGGCGAGCTGTACATGGGTAGTCGGAAAGACAAGCAACAGAAGGTCCAATACTCGCAGCAGCAGCGAGAGCAACAAGAGCAGAAAAACCAAAATGAAGAAGACATACCCAAACGAGAAGATGAGCAGCCTCGAGAACAAGGCCAGCAGCAGCAGCAGCAGCAGCAACAGCAAGACGCAGCAGGACCGGAGGAACCAGCTTATTCTGAAGGCAGCCGCAGCAACAGCAGCAGCAGCCTCACGCACTCTCACAGAAATGCAGCTCAGGAGGTGCGTGGCGCAGCAGCAGAAGCAGCAGCAACAGGCACAACGCCCTCAGAAGCAACAGCAGCAGCAGCAGCAGCAGGCTCCCAGCCACCCGCAGGGGCTGCGGACGAAAGCTCAGAAGCAGCAGCAGCAGCAGCAGCGCAGCAAGCAGCACCTGAACTGGCACAACCCGCAAGAGAGTCTGCAAAAGCGCCAGCAGGGGCAGCGGCAGCAGCGGAGGAGTCCGCAGCAACAGCACCAGCAGAAGCAGCAGCAGCAGCAGCAGCGGCAGCTACAGCAGATTTGCATGCGCTGCTAAGGGAGTACAGAGCCCTGACAGAATTTGGACCAACTGTAGAAGAGCTGGATGGCCAAGCTTTATTTCCTTTTGGAGATGCTGCACATGTCATCTCAGGTTTGCAGATACTGCAGCAGCAGGCGGCAAATTCTATTGCTGCTGCTGCTTCTGCTGCTCCCGCTGGCTCGAGGCGGCATTTGTGGCTGCAGCTGCAGCTTGCTGCGCAATCTGCTGCTGCTGTAGCATCTTTCAAGCGATTGTTGCAGCTGCTTCTCGCTGCGGCTCCGGTATGCCTGTCTGTGAATTGACCCTGCTGCTGCTGCTGCTGCTGCTGCTGCAGACGAGGCCTTTTCTGTTGCTGCTGAAGTTGAACCCCCCGTTGGCTGCCACTGCACAGTCTGCCAAGTTGTGAAAAGACGGGGGGTCGTAATGGCTGGGGAGGGGGCCCTCATGGGAGGCCCCTTTACAGACAGTGCAGCGGCAGCAGCAGCAGCAGAAATGGGGGCAGGCATGCTGCTGCCGATGTCTGCTGCTGCTTGCTCTAGCTTTACTTTTGCTGCTGTTGCTGCTGCGGCTCAAGCGTCCGGATGGCCGCTGCTGCGTCGCTGCTTTCACAACCTGCTGACCCACAGCTGCTTGGTGGTGAGACAGGTTCATTCAGCAGCAGCAGCAGCAGCAGCAGCCGAACAGCAGCAGCAGCAAGAGGCCGCAGCAGCAGCAGCAAAAATTGCCTGACGTTATGAATTTGTTGTTGCTGCAGGTGCGCAAGTCGCTAGCAGCATCGCTCTTTGCTGCTGCGACTGCAGCACTCCCTCCCAACAGCCGCTGCCTCTGCTGCA